AAGAAAATCTGTAAGACCACTTGAGACAAAAAAATAGAATAAGAAGGTCTAACATAGTACTTCTGAAACTATCTGAGATGGACTATCTTTTAAACTGCCAATCTATTACAGCCAAAAATAAAATACAATAAAACTGAATTTCTTTTTTTTTTAATCATGTGCTTAGACATCATGATAATACCAAGTTGCTATTAAAAGCTTTTAAATGTTTACTTTGGGAAAAAAAAAAGACAAAGGCTTTACAAAAGTTCCAGGTTAAAAGAGGCTAAAGAGATAAGCCATAATACTTGACCTAAGGATGGATCTCGTAATGCAAAGCGAGAATGCTAAAAGGGACATCATTAGATTCACTGTCAAGATTGGCACGAGAATGGTAGGTTATATAAAACTACTGTGATAATGTAAATATGACATTGATAACTGTACTATAGTTATGAAAGGAAATACCTCTCTTGTTAGGAGCTACACACTTAAGTATTTAGGAGTAAAGGACCAGGATGTACCTAGCCTGCCCTCAAATGGTTGAGAAAGCTGCACGTCTCTTGCCCACGTAAGATGTAACAGGAACCTGTCTGCTGGTGTGTGATTTTGCTTTGTTTCCCAACAGAGAGAGAGAGTAAATAATGAAGCAAGTAAGGCAAAATGTTAACAGGTGAATGTAGGTAAGGGGTTCATGATGTTCCCTGACCTATTCTTATTTTTGCAACTTTCTGTAACTTTGAAGTTATTGTTGAAAAAAAAATCACTCAGAAGAATAAAAAAACAGAAAACAACAAAAAACAGAGAGGGTGATGATTCACCCTACCTGATTTTAGAGGACACCGGATCTCTGCCTCACTTTATAACCATCATACAGATTTTATCAATGAAATAAATAACAGAAAAATGATTCTCCCTGAACCCCTCAAGAAAGAGAATTCATGTAGAAGGGAAGATTAAAGAGCAGAAGTCCTGGAGACAGACTAGTGTTTGAATTGCAGCCGCACCACTTATTAGCATGGGGCCCTTGGGCAAATTTCCTGAGGTTTCTGTTCTTAGCGTCCTCACCTGGAACACAGATTACGTCCAGTACTTCCTGCAGAGGCCAGTTAGGAGGGTAAGGTTTCAGTTGGCCGATAACAACAATAAAACAAAAACACTCTTTTTTTTTTTAATAATTATAAATTTATTTTATAATGTAATTGCTACTCATTTAACAGTAATGTTTTTTCATAGTTTTCTTCAAAACAGAAATATTTATTTTTAATTACTTTTTTCCAGTTCCAACAGTAATCTGTATGAACTGTGGACTCAGAAATATGGAAAATCGGGAATAACACCCACAAAGACGATGTCCAGAGACAATCGCTATTAGGATCCGGGAATGTTCTCTCCTGGATAAATTATTCACTAGCCTTCAAAACTATGACGTATGGCTGCACAATTTATTTTTTCTGTCCCCCTAGTTTTCAACAATTTACATTGGTCCAGTTTTTCATCACACTATGTCATACTCATATGTAAAAAATCATTGTCCAAATCCGTAAAGGAGTTTTTGAACAGAAGAGGGCAGTGTTGAGCAGCTTTCAGCACAACTGAACTGGAATTGAGACCTTCCTAGACCATCAGGATCGCAGGATGTTTCAGAAACCCATTGATATATAAAGTTTAGGTGCTCCTTCCAATTCTGTGAAGCCGAATGCCATGTGTACCTTCAAGGGGGAGCATGGGCATTCTGAGTCAGCTGCCTACCTGCTGTCTGTGCCGTGTAAAGATCCAGATTCTTTTATCCCATTTGGGACTAAGTTAAGGTTAAACGTACCTGAGCCCTTCTTTCTGGGTTAAACTTCCCTCCTCCCTTTCCTTGCTTTCCCAGCCCAAATGTACACAGTCTGGTAAATTCACCCCCATTTCCCAGGCTCTGGCTAACGGTAGAGTCTCCCATCCCTGTTCCAGTTTGTGGTTAGCAGGAAGCCCTTTTTATTTATTTATTTTTTGGAGGCGGTACTGGGGATTGAACTCAGGACCTTGTGCATGCTAAGCATGTGCTCTACCACATGAGCTATATACCCTCCCCTCAAGCAAAAAGCTCTTTAAAGGTGTATGTGCTGTCTGCATGCAGTGCCTGAGTGAGTTCAAAGCTTGATGACCAAACAAGGAGGCTGTTAAAACCATAAAAAAACAGCCAAAAAATGTGAGGTGGCAGGCAGGAGCGGACCATGCCAGCAGGTTTGGCGTTGGGAGGGGAGAGAGCAGGTGAGTGAAGGAGACAGATAATGATGGTGGAGGAGGCTTCCAGGAAAGACAGTCCAGTGTTCACCTGCGCTGACTGAGCACAGCAGAATCCATTCACCACGCTTACAAGCATTTCATTAACACATTTACTTTCAAGTGACTTCAGAACCTCTTCTGCTAGAATTTGACGTATCAGCTCCCTGTGGAGTTATTTTCTGCCTTAGATTTGTCCCATTGATTAGGAAGAGGGAAATCAAAATGCTTGATCATCTAAGCATCACTGATTTGGGGAGGCACTTTCCTGGCACCCAAACAGTCCTTCTGCAAAATAACTGGTTTTACTGATACAATGTATAGTCATCACTCATGCTAGGCTTTGAATTATCCAGCCATTTTGCAGAACACTGGTATTAATCCCGGAAGTCTCTCAAATGCCCGTAAAGTCCAAACGTGGTGCTCATGTATTCACGGATGCTGCGGTTTGGCTAGAAAGTCTACCTTCTCACCAGGCATCAAAGATGCCAAAAGGCTGGGAAAGGGAGTCAGTAAGTCAACTGGGAAAGCCTCTAGGAGGCAGGACTGGCAGATACTTTCATCTTTATGCAGAGTCACTGGTCCTCGCCCTGCCCCACAGGCACTTCAAAGGGCGGGAAAAGACCAAGGTCCTTGCAAGGGTCCCCACACTCATGGGCATGGCCCTAAACACAGTCTTATCGGGCCCATGGTTTGCGTCAACATGTTTTTTCCACTAAAACTATTAGGGGCAGCAACATCATAGATGTGTTGCTTCGTAAATAAACATGAGCATAGAAAACAAATATTTCTCTCTCTTTTTCTGGGAGAAGATTCTAGTCCTATGCCTTTGCGAGAGAGTGTCCATATGCTGGAAACATTACTTGGAAAAGAAAAATACGATTTTAAAATGATGTAGAAAATGCTTACACTCACTGCATTTTCTGCACATGCCCTTGGAGGAGCCTCCTGGCAGCAGAGAAGCAGGAAGTATAACGGCGAGGCTCGGGCGAAGCCATGGTGTAGCTGAAGCTGTCTTACCATAGCCAAGACTGTGAGTAAGCTCTGTTTGTCTTTGTGCTTTTCTGAGACAAATGAAAGGTCCCCTTAAATAAAAATCATGGGAAGTGAAACGGAGAAGAAAAATGACACCTGCTAGTACCTCCTTCCTGTAACTATATTTTCATTTTCAAAAGGATAAACTATCCTCAGTCACTGTATTCGAGGAGAACTGGTAACATATCTGTAACAGAAATCAGCTGAGTTGTCTAATATTTTGAACAGCTTAACAAGCCCTTCCAAGGCTAAGAAAACTACAGAAGATCGATGAAGTCAAGTAAAGGTGAAAAGACACAAACAGTTACAGCTTTAGTGGCGTTGAAAGAAATCCAAATTCGAAATCATTTCGTGGCTAGAAATCCCACTTTGGCAGAGAATTGTTAAAGCTTTTCCAGTTTAGGTGTTACCTTCTGCTGAACTGTTTATCTGCCCAAAGATGTCCAGTTAATCCCAATTTATCGAATCAATCACCAGGGGTGTATAACGAGTATAGGAGAAACATACACTTTCCTTGTGAAAACATCGTAATCCCTCAGCTCCCGAGCCTTACAGGGGCCACTCACGATCCCAAAAGGCTAAAGGTGCCGTCTGTCCTGCATCCTGCTCTCCGTGCAGACACCTCTCCCCCAAGCTCCCCAAAATGCAACAGCCAGGGGTTGGCTTTCTTTTCTCACTCTTCCAAATACTTAGAGATTAAGAGAAAAAAAGGATAACTTGTTTTCTTTTACTTTAGGGATTTAAAAGGAAAAAAGAACTTTTAAGGAATATGTCGTCTTATAGATGACAAAAATGGTAGTGCTTTTATCCAAACTTAGCCTGTTTGTCAGAGACAAAGTGCAATATTGCCAACAGCTACAACACTGATTTTTTTTTTTTCCCATTTAGTATAAGCAGCGCTCTCCACTCTCCGCGCACGTTGAGACTGCTTGCTGTGACATCTGGAACTGGTTAACTTTCCCCCACGATTTGCAGCATTGTCCTGGAACTTTTCCAGGAATTCTCCGCATTCTAAAATCCATCCCTTATAGCCTACACACCCGACTCTCTGCATTCTAAAGCTCGTCAGCCACAAACCTCCCAGGGGAGATGTTTAACTGGGATTAAAACTCAGATAAACAAAACCCTGTACAGGAGCGTAGAGGTGACGGGCATCATTGGCCTTGGCCTGGACTGTGACGTCCAGTGGCCCCTCATACATCTGTGCGGGCTGGAAACACGTGCGCACCACGAAACCACTATCAGCATCCTTTCTCAGAGAACGAGGTCTTTTACAGGCTAATCTACGGCTGTGCTCGTTAGTAGCTGTGGGACCCCAAGAGAAACTTAGCTTTCATGAGAAAAGGGGGGTAAAATAACTACCTTTTTTTTTTGCAGGATTATTGCAGGGAGTAATGATAATGGCCACAGAGGGTGGACGCCCAGTATGTGGCAGTTATTACAGCAGCAGCTGCGAGGGTATTAATTTCATGCCTCCCAAGTCCCTTGATGAGTTCGCCTCCTCGGCAGACAGCAGCAGCCCTGTGGGGGGTGTTTTCTTAATCTTGTGAAATGATTTGCATAAAAAAGTGCATTATCAGTAATCGAGAGCTTGCATGAATATTGGCGGATTCTTTCTTCCCAGTTTACTTTAGGGCTAAGGAACACTGTTGCCCTAATTCCTCATGATACCCTACAGTTAGTCTCAATAACGTGTGTTAGGGAAAACAGGAAAGATCTTTTCCGAATTCAAAAAGCTTTTCTTTTCTTTTCTTTTTTTTTTTGCTGGCATGCCATTGATATACACGTGGGGAGGGGACACCTCTTTCATCATCATCGGGTCAAATCACTTGTTTTCTAGTTTTTGAACTAAGTTATTGCTAACATGATGTGAAGGAAAGACGTCAAGAAAGGCCAAGAGTATGTGGTGTGAATAATCAATGATCCCATCCTTCAAGGTCTGATGCATTCATTAGAGGAGGGTGTGTGCTCAGGGTCTGGGAAGGGGAGAATAATGGTCAGTATTAAGCAGCAGCTTCTCCCTGCTTTAAGAAATTAAAGTTAATTCCTAAGTAGTTTAGGAAAACGTCACCAATTCCATCCCTTCTTATGAACTGTGAAATTGAAACACACTTCTCACATAAGGCAGTCCTACTAAAGCAGAGAATAACTTTCTCCTCCATTATTTACACAAGCGATCCCAAAGTTACAAGAAACCTTTGATACTTAGTTAATCCTTAACGCCAGTTTCAAAAGCCTTCAGTGCTTTTCAAGATACCGACTATTTAGACTATTGACTGTAAATCTTCCTTATCAGACTAACTTGCAGAGGAAAAAAAAAAGACAGTTGAAACTTCTTTTTAATGTTCACTTCTTCCATTATGAAATGTTTATTTGCTAATAAGTTTTTGGAGTGTAAGATTTTTCTGAGCACTTTCTTATTACCAGGAGAAAGTAGCAAATTTTGCCACATCTTTATATCAACATTGTAATAAAAGTAAAACTCAGAAAGTGATCGATCTAAAAAAGTTTCCTTAAAAATGAGGCAGCCCGTCCACCTGTTTCTGTTCGTTTATCATTCCACTGCCATTATCTGAACCAATCTTTTAAAGCCCCTCAAGAATACCAAGTTTGTTAACTTAATTTCTGCTAAGAAGGACCACTCGCTTTTCCCATAAGAAACTCAGTATGTGATAAACTCATCAAATAGTGAATATTATAAAGATTGTACTGTACACAAAAAGCACCCAGAAAAAAAAGTTACACTCACAGAAGCCCCACCCAGAGCTGTGCCAAATCACACTCCCAGATAGCCTCTCTCAGGGTGTTTATAATATTTCATTTCTAGAAAAATTAGTGATCTGGAAAAAGAATGAAGAATTTTATGTTTTTAATGTTTCTAATCTTGTGTAGTCTAATGATGGCTTGTAGGTATCATGCAAATTTTCTCACTAGGTAGAGGGTAGAGAGGCTAGTCGAGTTAACCCAGGGAAGGGATTTTAAGGAAATCGCATAGTAAACAAGCTAATCTATAGGAAGTGAGAGATATTTTTAGTTTTGCTGAACTTTCACATTCATCTAAAATTCCAGAGGAGGACAAGGCTTTGCAGAGGCAATTACACTGAGAATTTGAAGGCCTAGAAATTCTGTACTGTGCTTTTAAGAAACCATGTATTCGGTGAGCAATGATCTCAAATATTTCGAGAGGAGCTGGTCTTATAAATCTAAATTAGCAAATGCAGTTTAATTTTTGATATGGGGAAAAGGCAGAAAGGAGGAGAAAACAGACAGGGTTTTACGGATTCAGGCTACAGTACAATTGTATGAAAAGATCCAATAACAAGTCAGAGGAACTCTGAGTACATTCCACACTGTCTGATATCTGTAACTTATTTGCTAGACGTAGGCTTTAAATATTATCATTCACGCTCATGGCCAGATCTCTCAAAAGCAAGCTTAAGAAACATGCATTTTACTACTCACTGCCTAAATGCTGTTGCCTGTTAGTCACCAATTTTATAGTAACTATGGCTTTATTAAAACCACCACTTAAATCAGAGCTAACATTTTTGACCCCTAAATTACTAAGTGTATCTTCACTGAAAGTTCCTAACAAGCAAGTCAAAATGCCAAATACTGCAATTTCTCAACAACAGGAATTTAGTTTTTTATGACTGCAGCCAGCGATGAGGCTTGCTCACAACCTGTTTGCAAGTTCACCCCAATCTAACTGTGTCTGTTGGGTTGGGGCTGTTCCCATCCACAAGGGGAAGGGGTACAACTGCTCACAAGATGCATTCCAGGTCTCCCTTGGGGCCCCTTCAAGGAAGATTCCTGCACAGGTGAAATGAAAACGTTGGCTTTGCTTTCTGCTGAGCTAAAGAGAGAATGTTCTGATCAAAAGGTCAGCACGTTGAGAGAAATAAATGCCAATCAGGATGTCCAGCCGCTGCCCTCCAGCTCCCCCAGCCCCGTGCGGGTTGCTCCACCTGCCTCGGAGGGAGATGACAACAGAGCCGGCCGCGGCCTTACCTGTGACTGTCATGATCCCCAGCATATCGGACAGCGCACCTCCCAGGGGCAGAGCAGCGGGTCCTCGCCCTGCTTTGGCGGTGGGGGAAGCTGCTCGGGGTCTTGCCCACCCCCTGCAGTCTCACTGTGATCAGAGAGAACCAAGGGCCCAGCCACCCTCGGAGATCAGGCAGAACTAGAGGTGCCTTCGGAGCGGCAGCAAGAAGTGGACTGGGGATGCACTCCCCCGGCTAATTATAGGAGGACCCACCCACCACCCACCCTTCCGGGCCGGCGGGGGCCGGGGGCCGGGGGCCGGGGCCGGGGGCCCAGGGGCCCGGGGACGGCCCGCCCTCCCTGCTCTCCCGGACTTGGCACCGCGCTCACGAGTCATGTGTTTCGTTTTAAAGCAGAGGAGCCCTGCCTGTAGCTGGTCTCTGTTAGTGGTCAGCAAGGCTCTGCGAGAGACCCAGGGAGGGTTTAAAAGTTGTTGGGATGAATAAGACCCGAGTCAGCACCATTTTATCTAAACCGTTACTTCATTCCTGGCACTGACTTACTTCTGTATCTCAGCTTTTAATATTACTTAAAGGAAACAACCGCATAGAGATTGAATTCTACTGCCATTAAAAAAAATACTGTGTTCTGCATCCTTACATTTGTTTAAGGCTGATGAAGTGCAAAAACACTGTTCCTTTTTTAGCACCTGTAGCAGTTTATATTTTTACCATCTGCTACACACCACACACACACGGCACATGGGGGTTGGCAAATCTCATGCGTCCTGTTCCCTGAACTCTTTGAGAAGGGCTGTTACAGTGCAAACTTTGTGTCTTCCACAGTTGATTGAGTCAACTTTCAAAAAACCCTAATACTTGAGCATTCTTCTTCTTTTTTTTTTAATGTAAGTCATTTAGCTAAACTTTTAGGTCAAGCTAAAATGTATTCCAAAATAGAGACACTATTGTATCTCTAATAAACAAGCACACAGAAGGAAAATCTGTCAGAACTGATATTTAAAATTCAAAATTTTTTGGCAGCCCCAAATTCTTAAAATCTTTCTCACTGAAACTTCAGATTTGTTCTATAAGTGGGGGGCATTCTTACAATTTTGACACACAATTTCTCGTGTCGATTTCCTGTTGCAGTGGGTCCATTTAGGACCCCCAGGTTTGTTTCTCCTGTTTCATCCTTTCCTTTTTATCACTTCATGCCTTGCCTGTCTCACCCCATTAGCCCAGGCTTTCTCCCTAAGTAAACAAAAGAAAGGTTTCTACTACTGCTCTTTTCTTCAGACCATGGAGATCTTGTTCATCACTTTTTGGGGGCTGGGAGGAAGGTGGGGGACTTCGTGTGGACCAGAGGGCCCAGGAAAGAGAGGGAAGGGTGGGGGGAACAGAATTATCAAGAAAAGGCAAATGAACAGATGACTGGATAAAGAAGTTGTAGTATATTTATACAATGGAATACTACTTGGCCATAAAAAAGAATAAAATAATGCCATTTGCAGCAACATGGATGGACCTGGAGATCATCATTCTAAGTGAAGTTAAGCCAGAAATAGAAAGAAAAATGCCATGTGGTATCACTTATATGTGGACTCTAAAAAAAAAATGCCACAAAAGAACTTATCTGCAAAACAGAAACAGACTCACAGATACAGAAAACAAACTTATGGTTACCAGCAGGTAAAGGTGGGAAGGGATAAATTGAGAATTTGAAATTTGCACCTCTTGGGGAGTGATGGAAATGTTAGCTATCTTGATTGTGGTACTGGTTTTATTGGTGTGTATGTCTATCAAAACTCATCAAATTGTACATCTGAAATATGTATAGTTTACTGTACAGGAACCATACCACAATAAAGGTGTTTAAAAAAAGAAAGAAGAGAAGAGGAGAGGAAAAGGAGAGGAAAGGAAAGGAGAGGAAAGGAGAGGAGAGGAGAGGAGGGGAGGGGAGGGGAGGGGAGGGAAGGGGAGGGAAGAAAGGCAAATGAGCACAGGCGTGTCAGCTGGCATGGTACACAGGTGCTCCCTCTGGCCACCAGGGGGCGCTAAGCACCTTATTAGGCTTACACTGAGCAAGGTTAAGGCGGCATCGTTGCCAGCAATCAGACCTTGTACAAAAATCAGCTTTGGCTTCTCCATACTCCAAATTTCCCTCTTATTTTCCCGTAAACGCCCAGCCTGGCTATACGTCTGCATGGGAACAGGGAGTGATGCACCTTGTCCTGATGCCTGGGAGCTGATTCCCTGAGCCACTTAGCAGTTTCCTACCCCTTTATCTTCCCCATAGCAGTCGTAACTTCGGTTCACAAATTGCTTCAATTATAATGAGAGTCTGGTGTGTGTGAAATGTTGCTGGTGCTAACGGTTCCTCTGGAGTCTGCACAGCCAAGGGGTCAGGGCAGCTCTGCATTCTTCTGCCCCCGACCTCTGCCCCCCGCCCCAGCCCTGCAAAGTCCTAGCTGTGCAGATTCGGGATAAAGCCCACTCTGGAGGCCGCACTGTGTTCGACATTAAATGAGTGGTTTACAGCCTTCCCAAACTGGGCTATGTATTAGCCCAGACACTGTCCCTGTGTGGAGCCCAAGCCCCCGCCCCAGAGTTGTCCTGGGAGCCTGGGTGACACCCCTGGGATCTGCATCATTTCTCAGCACCAGCTGTTGGGGACAGCTGACGACTATCATCTGAAATACACATAGTCAACTTATGGGTGGCAGCTCTTGAATCCTGACCTTGTTTGGCTGTGCCACCGGCTCCTTTCCTTTCTATAAATCCAGATTCTAACAATAGGACGGGCACCAGCCATTCACCTGGGCTGGGGAGGAAGAAACATCACTAGATACAAATGTAAAGCGCATTTAAAACAACACTTAAAAGATAATTGTCCTGCTACTCAGTTTTGGTGCGTAGACTTCTTGTTTCTTTCTAGGACATTAGTGCAGACACTCACACAACTGATTCGGTTTCTGAAAGAGGACGTTAAAACCGAGAGGCAGAGCAATAGCTCATGTGGCAAGTTGGTGCCTCTCTTCGCAGATAGCTGTCCTTTGATCTCCACCTCTAAGAGTGATCAAGGACAGGGTGTGTGGCACAGCTGCCTGATAAGCCTCTGTGTGTCTTGGATTTACAAAGAACAAGTCGTTAGTCAGGATAAAAGCAGGAGTAAAGCTCAGACCTCAGGTCAGGGTACAATGCAGGCAACTTTCTTTTGCTATCACTGCCATTCTCTACTTGTTTGTTTTTGTTAAATTCAGATTTTTAAAGGAAGACATCACTACGCAAAGCAAAAACAACGGGAAGATGTTTACCAATATCATAAATAGGTGGATGACAGAAAAGGTTTCCCCTAAATATCACCGTTCATTCAACAAATATTTACCAAGTTCTTGCTCCACGTTAATTACACTAAGCACCCAAGGATACAACTGGATATTGTCCTTGACCTGGGGAAGCTCAGCCTGGGGTGGGAGACACATCCAGAGGTAGAAGTGGGCATGCCCCAGGTTAACCCACCCCAGGTAAAGTCTGAGCCAGGCTCTGAAAAAATGGAAGATGTGAGGGGGACAGTCCTACCTGAGGCACAGAGGGAGGCGGTCCCACAGAAGGAGCAGCAGGGGGAGAGGCATGAAGAGTGCAACATCTGGGGACTGTAAGTGGCTTCCCTATAGCTACCACTCAGTCTACTTGGGGAGACCAGGGGACAGAGGAGATAACTGGAAATGAGGCAAGAAGTATTGCATTCGAGGCCAGGAAATTAGGAAGGGTTTTGAATGACATCTTAAGAGCTTTGTAACAAATGACCCAACCAAAAAATGGGTGAAGGATCTGCGTAGACATTCCTCTCAGGTAGACAACACAGATGGCCAGTGAGCACGTGGAAGGACGCTCAGCATCACTGGCCATTAGGAAAATGCAAGTCAAAACCACAAGGAGACCCCAATTCACACTCACTAGGATGCCTGTGATCAAACAGACAGATAATACAACAAAGGAGAACCCGGACCCTCGTATATTGGTAGCGGGAATGTAAAAGGTGTAGCTGCTTTGGAAATTTGGAAATGTGCAAACTGTCAATTCCCCAAAACGTTTAACATAGATTTACCACCTGACCCAGCAATTCTACTCCAAGATATATACCCAAGAAAAAGGAAAACCTATGCTTGCACAAAAGCTTATATAAGAATATTCAGAGCAGCATTATTTATAGTAGCCAAAAAGTAGAAGCAACCCAAATGTCCATCAACTGATGCATGGAAAAATAAAGTTCCATCTATCCAATGGAATATTACTCAGTAACAAAAAGGAATGAAGTATTTATATATGTTATAATGTGGAGGAACACTGAAAAAATTTTGCTAAGTGAAAGATGCTAGTCACAAAATAGCACATATTGACATATTATTTAAATATTATTTATTGTGTATTATTTAAATTCCATTTATATGAAATGTCTGAAATAGGCAAATCTATAGAGACGCAAAGCAGACTAACGGTTACGCAGAACTGGAGAGTTGAAGAGAGAGCCTGCTGACAGGTACGAGGATTCCTTATGCGGGAAAGAAAATGTTCTTAAGTTCTGGAGATGGTTGTACAATTCCGTAAATACACTAAAAACCACTGGAATGTATACTTTAATTTGAACTGTGGTTTAGAAAAGGTAACCGGGGCAGTAATGACAAGAAAGAAGATACTCTAGAAGAAAAATAGGTGGAAACCGTGGTGACAAAGGTGAGGAAGGAGTCAAAAATTACATCACCCGGGGAAGGCAGCTGCAGCCACGCGAATCTCTGAGGTCATCCGAATGGAACAAGGCAGCTGAAGTAAAAGGTCTGGAACTCTGAGGAAGAGGAATCTGGAAAAGGGCTTTGAGAATGGACAGAGATTAGAGGCAATCAAGGAGAAGATGGCATCAGAAGCCCAAAGTGAAGAGGATTAAAAGGCGGAAAGAGTGGGAATAATCTGACTTGCGTCACAGAGCTGTGACTCAGGGATGAGAACGGAGGAAGACTTGCCGTCTGGGGAGGCTGGACTGGTGGACAAGGAGTTGCAATTAAGACAGGGTCCAACACACCAGATCAGCACTGATGCTGGATTCATTACCTTCTTCCAAGGAGGTGAGAGCATTTAACCTGAGCATCGGGAACGGGGGAGTTGGACCCACCCCAAATCCAGCCCCTTATCACCCTTCTTTCTGTTTTCTTTTCAGCTTGGCTTTACACCCAGAGGTAAAGAAATACAAACCCAGTGAAGTCACTTGTCCTCTGGCTGGAAAGGGCAGGTGGGATCTAAGGGAGCATCTACACAGTGCTGTGCCTTTAAAATGCTTCAAAGACAATCGAGGGTTGAGTCAGAAGCTGCTGCAAACTAATGACCATGATGAAGATGAAAGTGCACACTGAATTCAGTGACACCTGGCAGGTTCTCCTGGACTCAAGTCTCCGCCCCTCTGCTATCAACACAGACAAATACCAGCTAATTGAATTTTATGGTCCAGTTGAATTGGACATGTTTGTGTAGACATGGCTATTTTGATTCAAAATCCTCTAGACAAATAATTTGAAGACGAGTGCCTCAAAGGGACTATTGTAATACAACAGAAAAGCTACGAAGGTTTTACAAGTCACTTAAGACAATTTACCCCCCCCCAAAATAGGCAAGAGGAAATTAAATATTTAAAACCTCAATCCAAATAATAAAAGTGACATAGAATAA